GTGTAGAATGAAGACATTTCAGATAACCCCCACACACCCTTCTCAGGATGCTATATGAGTATATGATGGACCAAAACCAGAGAGCAAACCAAGAAAAAGGGAGAAAAGCATACAGGAAACAAGGATGTCAAAACAAGATAAAAGGCAAAAAAGGAAGTTCCTGAAATGCTGGGGGAAATCTCAGGGTGATGCTCTACACTAAATATAGAGGGCAGCCAGTATATACTGGAGTAGGTCAGAATACTCTGTGAGAGATTTCTTCAACAAGATGAAATGAATTGGATGCCTGGTGTATTTGAACATCTTCAAAGGAGCTTTAAACAATCTACAAGGATTGAATTTGTGATAAGTACATAGAGAAATAATCAAACAAGAAGACAATTATTAACTAGAGGGAAACAAAAAGCTGTACAGGCAAGGGAAACAAATGATAGTAAACTACTGAATAAGTTACATAGTCATCATCACATAAACACTGAATATTAACAAAATTAGTATACAAACATGTTATTTAGAAACATTGAGTAAATACCAAAATAACTAGTTAACTATGATAAACGGCTGCTTCTGTGAAGGGGGAAAGGGGAAAAGTAGAAGGCTACTCTTTTTTTATGCTTTTTATTTTTATAATTTAAGTATAGTTGGCATACAAAATTAGGTTAGTTTCAAGTGTACAATATAATGACTAGACATTTATATACCTTACGATGTGATAACTACACTAAGTCTGGTAATCATCTTGTCTTTTGAAAAAGAACAAAGTTGGAAGATTGACACTACCTCATTTCAAGAATTATTATAAAGCTACAGTACTCATATACAGATTTACTGATCGATCCATACATATTGGCCAATTGATATTTGAAAAAGAAGCCAAGGTAACTCAATCAGGAAAGAAAAATCTTTCCAACAAATGGTATGGATATAATTGGATATCTAAGTAAGCAAACCTCAACTCTTACATAATACTATATTACAAAAATTAACCCTAAATGGATTACAGGCCTAAATGTAAAAATTAAAACTACAACATATCTAGAAGAAAATAGAAGCAAATCTTAGGGACCTTGGGTTAGACAAAGATTTTTAAACAGAACATAAAAAGCATGAACTATAAAAGAAAACATTGATGAACTAGACTCCATCAAAATTAGAAAGTTTATACTTCAAGACACTGTTAAGAAAATAAAAAGAAAACCCGCAGACTGGAAGAAAACTTTCATTAGTTACACAATTGACAAATGACTCGTATTCAAAATATATAAAGAATTCTTACAGCTCAAGATTAACAAGACAACCCAATTTTCAAAAAATGAACAAAAGGATTTGAAGACACACTTCCCCAAATAAGATATTGATGGTAAATAAGCCATTAATAGATACTCAACATCATTAGTTACTAGTGAAATGTAAATTAAACTACTATGAGATACCACTGCACACCCATTACTAGCCATTAATGAATGGAACTCTCATACAATGCTGGTGGGAATGTAAGATAGAACAAGTTTGGAAAACAGATTGGTAGTTTCTCAAAACGTTAAACATACATCTCTCATATGACCAAGCAATTCAATTGCCACTTATTTACAGAAGAGAAATGAAAGCATATGTCCATACAGAGACTTGTACATAAATGATCATAGCAGCCTTATTTGTAACAGCCAAAAACTGGAAACAACTCAAATGTCCAGTTGGTTGGATAAGCAAATTTTGGTTTGTCCAAACCTCAGCAATAAAAAGAAATGGACTACTGATACGTGTATCAACATTGTGGATGAATGTCAATATTATCATGCAGAGTGAAAGAAGCCAGACACAAAGGAGTACACACTACCTGATTCCATTTATATAAAATTCTAGAAAACTGCCTAGGCTTCTTTGTCAAAAGTGACAAAAAGCAGATGGGTACATGAGAAAAGGGGTGGAAGGGAGATGGGTTACAAAGAGACATGAAGAAATTTTAGAAGGATGATAGAAACGTTTGTCATCTTGATTGAGGTGACCATTTCACAGGTGTATGCGTGTGTCAAAACTAATCAGATCATACACTTTAAATGTATGCAGTTTATTGTATATCAATTATAACTCAATAAAGCTATTTTTTTTAGTTTATCCTAATTCCATGAAGTTATATTTCTGATGATTATATGTTGTCTCTGCTATTTTAGATTTTTAGACAGGAGCATTTATCAACAAATGTTCTTTAACTAATTAGAATTAGCTCATGGGTGGCCCTCTTCAATACTGAAAGACTTTCTCCTACATAAATAAAGCAAACAACACTGGGAATAAGCCTACACTATAAGATTCATTAGGTGTAGACGACAGATGCAAGATGGCGCCCATGATCCTGCCTCCTGGTGTTCATGCTCTGTATAATGCCCTCCCCTTAAATGTAGGTGTCACTTGTCACTTGCTTCTAACCAACAGAATATGGCAAAGATGAGAGGATGTTTGTGATTGTGTGTACATGATTACATATTTTAGCACTGTTCCTGCTGGAATCTCCAGTCCCTGACTGGCTTTAAGGAAGTAAGCAGCCATGTTGGGGAAGCCCACATGACAAGACACTGTGTGTGGCCTCTAGGAGCTGAGGGCAGCTTCCAGACTACAAATAGCCAAAAAACTGAAGCCCTTAGTCCTACAACCTCAAAAAACCAAATCTACCAGCAAATGTGTAAGCTCTGAAGCAGGCCTGTCCACAGTAGAGCCTCTGGATGATAGCCCAGCCCTGACTGACACTGACTGCAGACTTCCAGGGCACCCAACTAAGCCATGACCAGAATCCTGACCTGCAGAAACTATGACATAACAAATATATGTTGTTTTAAGCCACTACGTTTGTGGTAATATTGTTTACACAGCAATAGATAACTAACACACTAGGTCTGTATGTTTATAAGAAGGAGAGGAGGGGAGAAGCAGAATATATAGTAGAAAGGAGAAATGCATTTTATATTCAAATAGTATTTTCTACATCTAAGTACAATGATTTAAATTTATTATCAACTGCAAGATAAAAACTAATCACAGAGGAAATCAAATTACTTCTTTCAGCTTTTCTTTGGCTGAAAGGCACAAAGTGAAGAAACTTATATTTAAGCAGCTGATTTTAAGGCATGCCATATAAAAACTGTAACTAATCTTGTAAAATAAATGCAAATGAAAACAACTGATCTAATACCCTTTAACCTATCATGATATGTTTTGTTCCAGTTTTCAATAATGAGCACATCAGCGTTAGAGAATTGTAACAAGTTCACTGACATGCAAGCAAAGCCTTGTTATCGTCTTCACTGACCGCCTCCCTGGGAAGGATAAGAGCACAGCGGAGGGGAGCCTAATCTATGTTTCCTCAAAGACTCCAGAGAGAAGAACATTCAATTACACCACCGGCAGGCACTCGGAAATACCGCACTCGATGAGCTGTTTTCCGTTGGAAACACAGGAATGTATGCATTCTCCTATATCTTTAAAAAGCTATTTACCAATGTTGTTATACCCTCTTTTCCAGTCCTCAGTAATCATTCCCAAAAGGCTTCTGGGAAATGCAGGAGTAGTTAGGGTTTGTGTGGATCTTTCAGTTTTCTGTGAATATAATTTCCAAGCGTGGAAAGGACTGTGAACTACAGAGCAGGCAAATCATCACCCTCAGAAGTTCAGTTTTCTGCCTTGACATATTTGAAAATAAATAATTGGTATGGTGCGTGGACAATTAATATGGTCTCTACTTTCTTATGTGTTTTTGCAGTTGAATGTGTATTTTGTTTTTTGCTGTAATGTGGCCCTATCAATTAGGTCACAAAGGAAGTCATTGGAAATCAGGATGCATTCTCTGAGAAGGATGATGTAATACTTAATATTATTGTTGCTAATCAAGACACTCAGCTTACAATAACTGATTTTATGACTAAACTTTTGTTATATAAAACCAGATGAAATAATTAAATTTTCATAATAATTAAAATTAGAAAAATCATGTTTCAATATTTTAAATTTATCTAAACATATGCATATTTAATATGAAAGTCTTATACAGTGTACGTATACTACATAAAAATAATTCCACACACCGTTTATATTTATGTTTGACCTGAAATTAATATGCTAGCCAAAATAAACATTGAAATATTTAACAAAAAGTGTTTGCCTTCAGAGAATTTAGATAAAACATTATGTCTATATGGGAGTCAGGAAAGGGAATAATGGGTGATAACCAAGTGGTATGTGTGAGCCATCTCATTTTTTTAAATTTTCAGAGGCTTAAAACTAATCTTTCTTTTTCTCTCAATATATTACCTTTAAAAACATTCAGTTATATATAAAGTGGGACCATTCCTGATATAAATGAATAAAGTGATCAAATAAACAAATGCTAAAAACATCTAAAAATTTGAAGATATTACTAAGAAGTGCATTTATCATAATTTAAGAAAAAGAAATCTCTTAAGGATTATCGTCATTATTTGAATATTCTCTATACATTAATAAACATGTGTCCATGCCTGGAAGAGAAAGAACAAGAAGGAAAGAACGAGAGAGGTTCACTGATAACGTATGTGAAATAAAAATAAGTTTTAAAACAGAAGCCTGTGGGGCACAATTGTCAGGGGTCTGGCAGAACCCCCAGCATTGATGGAAAGGTTAAAGCACTGACCACATGGATGAGAGTCAGAACTTGGAAATTTTTTTATGTTGTTGGCCTTCTTCCCGCCTTCTGCAGCCTCCTTATGTCACTGCCCAGTATCTCCTGTATGGTGTCCTCCAGAGGAAAAAATAAAGGAGAATTTAAGGCCTTTAGGAAGAAGGACATGCCAGTAAACTTCATGGCAGTCCTCAAAGGATAGTAATAAAAGAGTCAGCCTTCCTGCAGAGCCCGGCCTCTCTGACAGGAATGAGGAGCAGTGGTAATGAGTCAGCTGCAACAGACGGCTGTGGAACAGCAGAGACCAAGATGGCCATCCTAGCACCTGTTTGCCAAACCTAGATTCACTTACCTTTTCTTGAAGCCTAATGTTATCCCACACCTTGTTGCATACCATGCACTCAAATGCATCGATGTAGTTGTCTTGGTTAATATCCTGCACTCCCCATTTCCGTTCCCTGAGCGCTGTGAGAAGTCGCTGGTTAGAGATCTCGCCCTTCAGCTTCCATTCTATGTAGGCCTCGTACAGTCTGTCATCATAATCCAGTTGTCGGATGTAACTGGCCAGCTCTCTAGGGTGAGAAAATTCTGATACAAGAATGGCGCTTCTATTACTGGGAAGCCAGTCTGTGATGCTGGGGGATCCGTAGTACACAGGGATCACCCCCAGTTTCAGAGGTCTCCAGAGCTTTTCAGTGATGTAGTCATCACAAACCGCATTCTCAAAAGCAAGGATAAACTTGTACTGGGCGATGAGCCTGTAGAAACCTTCGGCATCCATGGAGGCTGGATTTTTCAGCTGCTGAGGGAGGTCTTTGTTCCGTAAACACTCACCGTAGGAATCGACCTCGATGTAAGTCATCAGCTCTTGAACATAGCTGTCCCTGTCCGATGGTGGGTCACAGTCTGACTGTACATACACCAGCGGAGCAAGCCTTTTACGAAGGCTGTTTTTGGACTGCAAGGGGACCAGGTATCGGTGTGACTTCAGGATTTCTATGCCCTCCAAGTACTGAGTAGTTAGTGGCAGGTGGGAATGCCGGCTGAATGTGGCGGTGTAGTTGAACAAGGTGATGACCGGCTTGTGAAAGAGCTTATAATTGTTTTTCGGCGACTCTTCGTGAAAAAGGGCCCAGTCGTGATGGGCTTTCCGAGGCAGTGGTAAGCTATCTATGTTAAAGTCAGTACCTAGAAAAAGAAAAGAAAATATTAGTATGTCCAAGAGAATGTTGGTGTTTAAGTTTGAGTCCACATGGTAAGATTAGAATACAGAGGAGTTTGAAGCTATAAACAAAAAGCATGTTACAGTGTCTGCAAAATGCCTGGTAGTCAGTTATGAAACTTTCACCCCGGAAACGGCTCCAGGAGACAATCACCAAGGAGAGGGACCCTTTTTCTCATGTAATGAAAGGGAAATGGGATAGTGTCTAGTCAGTAGTGTCTAACGGGAGAATTTATTCCACTGCCTCCTGCAACTGGCTTTTTTTCCGGGAGCAGTTGCCTAAGAGAGGACACAAGAAATAAAGAGATAGACAGTTCTTAAAAAAGAAAAGAGCAAGCGAAAAGAAGCCAAAAAGGGAAAAGCAATCAGCTTGGCAGATTGATTAACTGAAAAAAGGTGAAATCATGCAAAAGTAGCCAGAACAAATATACAGGATAGATTTTTTTTAACCCAAATATCGATTTCAACAAAGTGCAGTTAATCAATCTTAGTCAAAATGGTAGACAAGAGGCTTTTAAAAATGAAAGAGCAGATAATAGCACTATGTTACAGACCACTGCAGGATGGACATGAATTAACAAGCACATCAAGAAATAAAGAAGGCACAACAGGATTATAATTATGAGTGATTCTAGCTTCCACAGGATTAATTGGGAAACCTTTGAAATATGATAATGTGCAGACAGAAGTGATGGATGTGGTAAGCAATTGTTTCCTGACTGCATGGGTGGAGACCCAATCAGGAAGAATTTATTTCTATAACTGAGAAAGAAGAATTAAGACAGTATCACAATATATAATGCAGAATTTCTAAAGTATTCCTGACACTGATGATTTTGTGGCCCCGATTTATAGTTTTTAAATGTAAGAAAATGGCAAAAGAAAAAAAAAATCCATCTTCCAGCACCCACTGGAAAAACAAACAAACTAACAAAAATGCTTCTAGCAGAATAAAACATATTCTCCAGTAGAATTCATAAAACTTAATAATTAATGCCAGTGCACACTCTCTCAAATAAATATACACTCTTTGATGCCAACAGTACATCAATGAGAAATCAATTAATAAAGAAAGGCTTCTAAAAAATTAAAGATCAAATAAGATTATGTTGGAGGATATATACTAAGCACAGAGAAATTGCTGAAGAAAGTACTACTGTTTTGGTAACAGGCTTTTATTCTCAATGATGAGGAATGAAAGACTAACATTTAAAAATGGTATATATTTGATATATTTATTTGGCATTTGCTACATTTGACTTTTAGCATCAAAAAGAATACTCATCCATGCACCTGAAATCTCATGGCATATAGAGTTGAGTGGTCAGCAAAAGTTAAGAGAGAAACATGAGGACGTGAAAGAGAAGAGAATCTTAGAAGAAAGGCAGCTTATTACCTTGAAGTGGTCGCTGCTCAGAAAGGTTCTAGGCTGCTCACGTGGCCAATGAGAGGAATTGCAACCCATAAAGTTCAGTTAGAACATAAAGTTTCCACCGAAGGCATAACAGAGAATCAAGGCCATCTGTCTAGCCAAGGAGGAACTACAGTCCAATCCATGGGAGTCAGAAGCAACAATCAAACTGTAAGATTAGAGACTAGAGGAGATATGATGAAAACAAAAGTGGATCTAGATTTAACTGGGGGAACAGATCCAAGTGTCTTGAGTGAGCGACTCAAACACCAGTGGCTGTCTGCTAATTGTTATGTGGCACATTTGTGATTCACACTGTGGCTCATCCTGGGTGCCACAGCAGTGATCCAAACTACAGAACAGGGAAGCAGAAAGCCACAAGGCCTGCCTTCAGGGCTTCAGAGAAAGGAGAGGGCCTGGGTTCCATCTCTGCTTGTCTACATCAGTAAAGCACAGAGAAACTAAAAATAGCAGCGTCTAGACCTTTCCATGGCCACTATCTAGGTCTGCTCAGGTTGTGTTGATAATAGGAATGGGACTTGAAACAGGTGCTAGTTATAATGACCCTTTCATTCATGATAACTAGGAGATGTGGGCTTATAAGCTCATTGTATCTTTAGCCACGTTGCTATTGGAACCTTGGTGTTGGAAGGCCAGGGAGAAGAATATTGGGTCCCTCCCTATGCAAAAAAAGGCCTGCAGAATCGAAGCAAGAAACATTTATTTATATGCCTGTGCTAAAAAGTAACACAGTCTTGGGCCAGCCGAGTGGCGCGACGGTTAAGAGCTGGCTTGGGACACCACATATGAGGGCCAGTGACACTGACCTCTACAGCTAAGATGCTGAACAACAGCTCAACCTAGAGCTGGGCTGCCATAAGTCACCGGCGATAGCGTAGGCTGCAGGTCCTGCTGCAGTGGGTTGCCATGGGCTACTGTGTGTAGCCAGCAGCCAGCGTGAGCGGCCACAGCCGCTGTGAGTGGCTATCCAGAAGCTGGCGACTGATGTGCCTCGCCTGGGAAGAGTGCAATGATGGTGCCAACTTGGGCCAGTGAAGCAACGTCCTCCACAACTAGACTGAAGAACAAAA